CGCTGGCCGAGGCTTTGAAATCCGAGGCGATGCGCGATCATCTTCGCGCCTCTGGGACCTAGCGCTTTTTCGGGCGAGGGCCCTGGCTCTGGAGCCGCCCGAATTTGGCAACATCATCCACGGCGAGCTCCCCCTCCAGCATATCCTCGCCTTCGCCCCATGCAAGTCAACGACGGCGCGAGCCTGTTTGCCGCTGCTACTCCCTCTCTTTGCACCTCCTCCCCCCGCCCCCCCCCCTCCTCAGACTTCTCATGCCCCCCTCATCCTCGCGCCCTCGCGCCCTCGCGCAACCGCGTCGGCCGAGGACCGCTCGTCGGTCTTGGCCGCGACGTGCGAGGCGAGATTAACTTTGCCCCCCTCTGGGTGACCTGGGCCCCCTCTGGATGTTCATGCTTCATGCTTCATGCCCCCTATCCTCGCGCTCACCTTCGTTCTCAACCATCCTACTCCTGATCGCCCTGGCTGAACTTCGTCATCGTTCGCATCGCCATCCTGACCCGACCCTCTTCCCCCCCAGTGCCCCTCGCGCATTTCACCAGCTACTCTTTCCCATCTCCCATTTGTTCATTCCCTCTTTCCTTCCCCCGTTCCCCTCGCTACCCCCCCCCCCCCATTCTGGCAGAGGGTAGCTGGGGGGCGCGGAGCGAGCGCGGGTCCTGCTCGTCCAGCGCGCGCCCGGGATCTTCCGTCACGCAGTCATGCAGCGGCCGCGGCAAGCGCGGCGACGCGGGGCCCCGGCGCGAAGGCTCGAGGACAAGACAGGCAGGCAAGCGCAGATGGACGGGAGACGTCGCCGTCACTGAGGTTGCCGAAGCTCGGCGCCACGCGACGTGCAAAGCGCAGTTATCTTCGCGCCCGCGCGAGGTTATTTCGGTGGGGGGCAGCTCTCTTGGAGAGGCCGCGACGCGCGAAGTGCGATTATCTTTGCGCCTTCGAGAGCGCCCTGAGTCGACATCGGGGCCATCGTTGTGGGCTACAACGATGGCGCCGATGTCGACTCAGCCGATATCGACGACGACCCATAACTTGTGGGTCGTCGTCGATATCGTCGGCGCGGTCAGCGTCGACGTTGGCATCGTCGATTACGTCGTCGCCACTAACGCCGACGCCACCGCCGATGTCGTCATTGTCGACGTCGTCGGATTCGTCGTTGTCCTGTCGCAATCGTCGTCGTCGTCGCGACAGCGGCGGCGGCGAAGGCAGCGATGGCGGCGGCGACCGCAGCTTGCCCGGGCCCCCGCCGAGGCCAAGAATGGAGCGACTCCTGTCCGTCTTTCACCACTCGGCATTTGCATTTCTTCTCCTCTTCTCCCCCTACTCCTCCCATGCCCTCGTCTTCCCTCTTCCTCCTCCTCTTCCTCCTCTTCCTCCTTATCAGCTTATCTGCCTGTTCCTCCTCCTTCCCCCTCCTCTTCCTCATCCGCTCATCCGTTTTTGTCCCTCCTCATCCCTTCCTCCTCTTCATCTCCTTTCGCCGCGCGGTCCTCATCTTTTAGTGAGGACACTAACCTAAGGTACAAACCATAAACCATAAGGAACGAAGCCCTTTGTTTTCCGAGTAAGCCCATGAAGTGCAGAGGAACGGCCGAGCCCCTTTCACGCGGCGTTGCGCCGCGATTTGCTTTTGCGATTCGACCCCCGCCCCCCAAACTACCCAGGAACACGCGCCCGCCCCTCCCCCGCCGCTCCAAAATCGAACGCAGAAGTGCGGCCTGCGAACAACGCAGTGGGAACGTCAAGGGCTCGGGCTAGGAACTGGCACGCGAGCCCCAAATCGCACCTCGCAAGGAACGCAAGCAGTAGCGAGTAAGTGGCGAGGAGTGGCGAGCATTGCCCAGGAGTGGCTCACGGTGTCCAGGAATGCCCCGTGTGGCGTTTTTGTCGCCAAACCTGTCGGACACGATTTCCGCTCAAATCGTCCAAAGCATGTGCAACCGTTGTGTGTTCAACAACATCTGCCCGAAATCACCCCAATGCCCAATGCCAATTCCTTCAGATCGCGATGTTTGCAACCACAACGAGCAGACTGTCACGCACTCGTGCAAACTTAGCGTAAACGCCATGATATCATTCCGAACGCTCTGACGGCGACGAACCATCATCGAACCGCAGACAACGTGCTGGGGTTGCCTCGCCCACCCGGCTCCGCGCTGACCTGCCAGGTGGCCTTGCCGCTCGCCCTTCGAGGTGGCGGCGCCTGAACCCAAGTGACCAAACGATTGCCAGATATCAGATATATGATGCCCCAAGAATCCACAAGATGTCAAGAACATGAGCACCTGAGAACCCCAAGAACCCCACCGAGCTACCGGGAGATGGCGAGATGGCGAGGCGGCGGGACGCACATGAGCCCATGACGGGGGCCCGCGACTCCACGACCAGGCGACGCGCGACCGATTGGCGGCGGCACAGTGATGAGCTGACGGGCTGACGACTGAGAGGATGGCAGGATAGCAACCTGACGAACTGATGCGACTCGGAGCGATGTGACGCGAGGGGCAGATGGTCACCACCCACCAAACCACCCCTACCCAACTCGAAGGCCTCAATTTGCCCTCCATTACCACTGGGGGGGGGCCCGGGAACATCGAACAAACACATGGAGCCCATGCGCCCCTCCAACCCGAAATTTGGGTCTTCGGGTTGGGTTGGTGTGGTCTGGTAGGTAGTCAAATGGATCGATATGACTCAATGGCGAGATGACGATACGACGATACGGATTGCTCTTTTTTGTTTTTTTATTGTTAAATCACGACGCCACCTCGGCAGCCCCTGCACCCGCACACTACAACTTTACAACGGGTACGACTGCTTGCGATACCACGAGACTAACAAACGACTCATGCAACACAATCGCGCAGACGCGCATACGATTCCGATGTCGGATGTCGGCGATGCCATCCGGAAGAAACTTCAAAGGCCCTAGGCCCTTATAGACCTGAATTCTAAACGCCCGCGGGGCCGAATGCTGAGTGGATCTCAGGCCCCAGGGATTAACGAAACAAAGGCATGCCGATTCGACCAAGGCTTCGAGACTGGAGCGATGGGCGAGAGGGTGGGAGGGCGAAAGTTTGGGGAGACTGAGTCGTCATACTCTCAGGGAAGGCGCGGCAAGGGAGCAGTTGGTCTCGCGGCGCCCTGCGCCACAGCACCCAGCAGATCATGATCTGGCCATCGCTCGGACGTGCATTCCATTCCTTGTGTTCTTGTTTCGGTTTCGTGCGTTTTGTTTTTTTGTCGCAGGATGATCCAGGATGCCCCTCAAAAATCCACGCCGAAAAAAACGTGCACGCGTCCGAGCGATGCCAAGTGATCTCACTGGCTTCGCACTGCGCCTGAGCGCACGTGCAGAACTTAGTACTTAGAATTCCTCGGGAAAGGGCTCAAAAGATGCGACCCTGTGAAACTGGCGAAAGTGGTAATCGCGCAACTCAGGGGACATCGGAGAGGCCCCGAAAGAGACATTACATAATCATGAACACAATTATTGCACACCCATGCATCTCGAGCAAAAACGCTGGCTGAAAAGAACGAGCGCAAATCATGCGGCATCTGCTGCCCGAAACTCCTAGGGTGGCGCCTGTTGCAACCTCCTTCGCACTCCACCGTCGAACCTGCTTTATACAGGGTGAGCTCTGCGAGCCGCATATTAGTGACTGTGCGGGTGTGCACGGCGCCGAACGTGACATTCGCCAACTGGCGCGGGCGCTGGCCAGTCTTGTAGACGGACGGGCCTGGCCTAGGATGCTGCGACGGCTCAGGCGTCATCGGTGCACTCGACCTCGCCTGCGGGCAACTCGGCGCTGGGCCAAGGAAATCGTCGTCGGCGATGATGCCGCCGTCGATGCCGCCATCCACGATGCCGCCCTGCACGATGCCGCCCTGCACGATGCCGTCGGCCACTGGAGCATCTGTCTGCGTCGCAGCATCGGCCACTGGAGCATCTGTCTGCGTCGCAGCGGTGGCCACTGGAGCAGCATCAGCATCGCCAGCAACATCGCCTGGTGGTGTCCACGGGCTGACGGGACTGAACGGCGGGCTGAATGGGCTCATCTCGTCCTCTTCATTTGGAGTCCTCGGCGATCGTAATCTCGGGCTCCGCGACCGCATCCGAGGCTGCTGGGCAGCCGACGCCATCGCAGTCGGGGCACTGGCTGAAGTGCGAGACCAACGCCAAAACGAAGCCCGATCTGAAGCCAGAACGGCTACGGAAGATGTCTGGGGAGTCTAGGTACAGTCGAACTCGATTGGACAGGACACGCGAGAGGACACAAGACCCTTCCGAGGGCCACATTCCCACAGGAATGTGGAATGTAGGAAGCATGGGTCGCGAGACACAGGGCACAAGGGCACCCTTGGTTTGGCAGGGTCGACCTACCAGTCTGGGCCGACCGTAGTGCGCAACATGCTAGCACAATGCATGGTAGGATGTAGGTGGGGCGGGCGGATAGAGGATCGAATGTGATCCTACATTTGGCCGACTGCGGTTTCCAATAGGTCGTGTTCGTAAGTCGGGGAGGGTGATATAGCCTCGATGGTGTTTGTACATACGTGTGTATGCACAGGTGTAAGTAGCAAATTGCGTGTATATATATATGTATTATGTACATATAATATAATGTATGTATGTTGTTTAGTTGTATATTTATATAGTTATATATATATAACTTTACATATATATATATTATATATATTATATAATATATATACATATTCGATATGTCACACAGATAACATATATATATATATACAATATATATATATATATGTGTGTTGATGTAAATCTGATATATGTCGCATCTCTTCAGCTGGGGCCCATTCTATGAGCTCTAAGCAGAGCTAATTCTTAGAACATAAGCCCGATGCGTTGAAGCAAGGCAGTCCCAGCCAGAAATGTTCTAAGAAACTTTCCTGGGAACCACAAAAAATGTCTTAGAACATTGTTTGGTAGGGCTATAGGCGAGCCAGGACGCTTGGCCACTGCTTGACCCCTGGGCCGCCGTGATGGGCCGGCCGCCCAGCTCGGTGCCGCACAGCACGACGGAAGCCTGCGCCGCCGCCTCGGCCTCCGCGTACCTCCGCACGCGGCCGCCGCGAGGAGCGCGCGCGCGGCGTGCGGCGTGCGGCTGCAGGGCTCGCGCCTGGGGCGTGCCAGGCGCACGCCGCTGCAGCGCGTGCGCCAGCCAGGCTTGAACGCACATTATGGCAACGGGACGCATCAACCGCACAACAGGCCCCCTCACCTTCCCGTGCAAGCAGAGAGAGAGAGAGAGAAACAAAAAAAAGGGAGAGAGAGAGAGAGAGAGTGGGAGAGTTCACGTGTGCGCGTTTATGTAGCGTGCCACGCGACAGAACGTTGTGGAAGCACGGTCGCCGGGGCAGGACCCACAGCTGCGCACACACACACACACACACTCACACACACACGCACACAAGAACAAAGACATTCCTCCGTGCACTAAGCCAGCGCCGCAAGCTAGACATCGTCCGACCTTCGACGGGATCGCCGTGCTCTTAGGACTTCAAGCACATGAAGATCCCGGTTGCAAACATATGTTTGGTTCTCAGCCGAAGCCAGGCGCCAAATGAAGAATGAAGAGCAGACAGATGAGATGCAACAATGGCGCGGGCAAGCTCGCCTGACTTCGCCAGTGGTGGTGCCTGCGACGCGACGCAGTCTTCCGTCTATCCTTTCACTCGTCGGCATCCACGACCTCCTGCATCCTCGCCCTTCCTCCTTTCTCCTCGCTTCCATGTCTCCATTCCTTCTATCCTTCACTCCACCGCCCTCCACCTCCTTCTTCTCTTCTCTTCCTCCTCTTCCTCCTCCTCCATTCCTTGTCCTTATAGATCACTTCTCCCTGTCGCGCCATCGGACGTGTCCGTAGGCCGGCCAGGCATTTCGCCTGAGACGTCCTCGCCACTCGTGATCCTGAAGATAGGAAGTTGAAATAGTTTCAAGGATGGAGCCCAGGTGGCTTGCAACACGTGGTTCTCGCCCCAGCGCCGCGCATGTATGTCTTACAATCTTGCAGCCGTTTCAAGGATGGATGCCGACTCCTTTTCAAAAAATGGGTCTCGACTTATCGCCGCGCACATGAGTCTGAACAACTTGCAACCATTTCAAGAATGGAGCTGGGTTCCTCTTCAAAATGTGGTTCTCGCCTTAACGCCGCGCACATTTATACGACCCATCCCTTACCATTACGTGGGACAAATATTCGTTGCAATCCATCCGACCCAACCCAACTCACCAACCCATGCAACACATGCAATGCGGTACACATCCATCCGGCCCGACCCTCAACATCCAATGTAAAACATGATTCGGTGCACAATTGCTGATCTTCAACATCGCCCCACCCCTTGGCGCCGAAGAACCCCGGGCACAAAAGGCACAAAGGAACACTTAACCCGAAGGACCCAACCAGATGCAGCTGCGAGCATCACGAGGCAGGTGAGAAGCAGGGGGGGAGGGCAGCAGAAGGACTGGGGGCGCGGAGGAGACAGAGGAAGAGGAGGAGACAGAGGAGGAGGAGGAGGAGGAGACAGAGGAGGAGGAGGAGGAGGAGGAGGAGGAGGAAGAGGAAGAAGAGGAGGAGGAGGAGGAGGAGGAGGAGGAGGAGACAGAGGAGGAGGCGGAGGAGGAGGAAGCGGATGAGGGCACGCAGGGGCAGGGGCGACGAGCGATCGGGAGTCCGGGGAGCTCTTGGCTGTGCTGCCGACAGACGTGGCCAGAAAGAGGGGCCAATCACCCGGGGGTGCCCACTTCCCCCCGCTCCTCGGCACCACGGATGGGCCCTCGTCGGCGCGTGCGAGCAGCGGCATGGGGAAGAGATGGCTGGACTGCACATCATCAGCTACAACTTCGACGATCAAAAAACTGGTCGCCCAGGGCAGGCCTGCGGGTAGGGGTGGCAGTTGTATCGCCGCCGTTCTTTTTGCTTCGGATATCCGCAGGGTTGGACTGTAGAATCCGGCATAGTCTCCCTACCTTTCCCCCTCTTGCTCCAACTCCACCTGCTCCGTCCCCCCTCTCTCGCCCTCCTCCTTCTCCCTCTTCCCGCGCACTGCCACTGGCAGCAAGCGAGACGGTCGTCGGGCGACAATGTGCCACCGGGCCCGCGCGCTGAGGCGAGGCGGCGACGCGGAGGCTGAGGCAGCATTCCGATGAGAGAACGGAGCCGAACCAGGCCGCAGCGCCGAGGCTCCCCCGCTCCTCGTGCTCCTCCCCCGGCTCTCCGTGGCCACCCTCTCAAGGCCGCCCCATCCCACCTGCCCCCATTCCAAGCGCGTGGCGGCGCCTGGCAGGCCGTCCAGGATGACGTTACCAAACTGGTCCGTCCTGCGAGGCACGGGGCCCGAAGGTGTGTATGGGGTTAGAGTACAAAGGTACAGAACCCCTGATCCGTATGTAGAGGAAGGAGGGAAAGATAGGGATCCTTTCCTCCTGTGCGACCAGCGCCCTATTCTCCTCCAGTACCTGAGCCGATAAGGCAGGCAAAAGGGCGAGTGAGGAGTAGAGATGAGGGTATGAGATGGGTTCCTTTCACCGAAGGCGGTCCCACGCGAGAGCGGCCCAGAGCGAGAGCGACCTCCTGGCGCGCGGCTGGCAGATCGCTGCGCACGTTGTGCCAGCAGCGGCCTGCGTGCTTCGACTCGCCCCCCCCCCCAAGAAAAACAAAACGCCGCGCTCCAACAGCCGCTCTGGCGAAGGGCCGCTCTCACGTGGGCGACGAGAAGACATGGGGTCTTGCGCGAGAGGGCGTAGCGACACTACACCGCGGCCCACGCGGGCCGCCCGCGCGGCGCGCCACAGTGGAGACGAGGGCGCTCACGCGCGAGCTCATGCGGGCAACTTGCGCGCCAATGTCGGCGCAGACATCCCCGTGCTTTTGCGCCGCTCACGTGCGGCCCACGGGCCGCAGTTGCCCTCCCGACGCTCCCCGCGCGAGGTGGCCCGGCCGGCCGCCAACTTCCGAGCGAGAGCGGGGGCGCACGCGCGCAGGCCCCGAGGGCCGCGCAGAAGCTCAGCGCTCCGTCCGGTGCCCGCTCCATGATCGACTCAAAAGGACGGGCCCCGAGCCAGACCTCGAGAGAGGCCTTGAGCCCCCAGGCCTCCGACGCCGAGCTTTCTGTTGGCATGAGGGAGGCGGGTCCTGAGGGGGACGGAGCCCAAAGCTCTCCGCCGAGCTTGGGCTCCTGGGGCACTCCGCGGGCCCGGGGACCTGCAAAAGGGTTCGGGATGAGGAGCTGGCCTTCCTCGGGAGAGCCCCGGGGTCCCCGTTGCCTTCAGGGCCCCCTTTTCCTTCACGGCGAGTGCTTGTCCGTGGCTTCGGCCCTGGACCAGCTGCTCCTCCTGCATGGCCCCGAGCGACGACGGCGGGCCGCCGTGGGGCCCAGGACTGAGGACTTCCTGGCATCGGATGCGCCGGTCTTGCTCCAGTCCGCGGGCCCCAGAAGCCTCGATCCCCCCCCAGGGGGCAGCCCCCCTCCCCGGGGTTGCTGCTGGTACTGATTGACAAGAGAAGGACCCCAGACCTTTTTTGGGGGGGAGACCTGAGTTAGGAACGCCACAAACATTAGGCTTAGGGGGCCTGTTTTGCACATGAGATGTATCAAACCACGCCGCCCAGATGGATTATCCCTCGTGTCAATACAGGGACCTCAGTTAGCCTACGTTTAAGTCGGGCCTGTCCCCCTACAGGGGGATTTTCGACGAAACATGAAAATACCAACAACAAAAAAATAATCCAAAAATAGTCTGGGAACTATGTTTTGGTATTGTTTGACCTTTGGGGGGCATTTGTGGGGTATGTTTGAATTGTCGATGAAAATCCCCCTGTAGGGTGACACGCCCGACTTACGCCTACGTCCCCACTGTGCCAGTAGAGGCTAAGGATTCTCTTGCTCGCGATGAGGCATCGCCCACCCGGGGGGCGGCGACAACGCGGCCCCCAGAGCGCCGAAGCGACGGGCGGGCGCCAGGACGGGCACAACGTCGGCGCGCGCTCCCAGGACCCGGGCCCGCGCCCCGGCCACGATCGGCCCCTGCCCAGCGTCAGGTCGGGCCTGTCCCCCTACAGGGGGCTTCCGGGCGAAAAATGTAAAATACTTTAAAACAAATACTCCACAAATATTTTTTTTTTTTTTTAAAAAGAAAAAAAAAAAAAAAAAAAAAAAAAGTTGTCGAACAATCGTCCCCAGACTACTTTTTTTACTATTCTTGAATTTTCCTCCTGTAGATGGACAGGCCCGACTTAAGCCTAGCGCGCGCGCGCCCTCCCGAGAGACGGGGCAGCCGGAGCGGAGCGGCGCGGCGCACGGCCTGCGGGGGGGCCGGGGCGTCCTGGGGCGCTTGGCGGCGGGGGCGCCGTCGGCCAGGAGGACGTAGCCGCTGCTGGCGCTGGCCTGGGCGGGCGTGGGCTGGAGCTGCTGGCTCGGCACCATGCCTGGCGGGCACGGGGGGGGGGGTCTCAGCGGGCGTCATGCGCCGGCGGGGGAGGGGGAGCGGTGGAGAGCAGAGGGGGGGAGGGGATGGCGTGGCCAGAGGGAGAGGCGTCGAAAGCCAGCAACTTCGAGAGCGCGGGGGAGGCCGAAGGGCCTCCGAGAAGCACCCGGCAGACGCCAAAATGTAGCGCGAGAACGCCCCTGTTGGAACAGACGACGGCTAGGCAGGAACAAGTAGAAGGGTGACGACAGGGATTATGATAACTTGTGATGACGACGACGATGAGGAAGATTATGGTGATGGTGATGGTGATGATGATGATGATGCTGATGAAGGAGACGGAAACTATGATGATGATGATGATGATGATGATGGTGATGATGATGATGAGGCTGATTATGATGATGAGGATGGTGAAGATAATGATTATGATGGTGATGATGATGATGATGAACCTGATGGGGTGATGCTGTTGTTGATGATGGTGATACGGCTGAAGATGATGATGGTGGGGATGAGGATGATGATGAGGATGATGATGTTGCGGCGGATGATGATGGTGATGGTGGTGATGGGGGTGATAACAGTGATGGTGATAGTGATGCGGATGATGCTAGCGGTTGTGATGATGTTAATTGTTTTGATGATGCTTGTGATGGCGATTATGATGGTGGTGGCGATGATGGTGATGGCGACGGTGTTGCGGAAGATGTGGTTGTTGATGATGTTGGTAAGGATGATGACAAAGATGGTGATGGTGGTGCTGGTGCTGATGATGTTGCTGTAGTCGATTCCTGGTGATGCGTCGCGATGGCGATGCTGCGGGTGCTGATGAGTGAGATTGTGCGACAAATGAGGGCGACGGTGCTGATGCGGATGATGATGATGATGATGATGATGATGATGATGATGATGATGATGATGATGATGATGATGATGATGATGATGATGATGATGATGATGATGATGATGATGATGAGTCGTATGATGGCGATGGCGATGGTGATGCTGAGGATGATGCGGGTGATAAGGAGGAGGAGGAGGAATCTGAGGAGGGGGGCGCGCCCGAGAGATGGGGGCGAGCGGAGCGGCGATGGCGCGCCTGTCGTGCCGCCGCGAGCGGCAGTAACGATGGGTGGGTGTGCGCCGTGGCCCGAGGGCTGCTCTCTGGGTGGGCCACCGGGCGCGGCGCTTCGCATCCCAGCATATCTAGGGCGACGCAATCTACACATATCCACTGCTCCCTGGCCAGTCCCATCCTGAACACAGCAGCTGTGTATACGCCACGCCCTCCTGGTTTGGCCAGGAGGGCGTATACACAGCTCCTTGGTTCAGGATGGGCCTGGCCAGGGAGCAGTGGATATGTATAGATTTCGTCCCCCGAATATCCCTGCCCAAGCGCTCGTGGGGGCGCACGAATTGGGGGGAGTTGCAGTCAGTGGGCGTTTCCCTGCCGCGGCAGGGCATCGTCGACGTCGCTCGCATGCGCACATGCAACAAGCCGCCCAATCGTCCAAGTCACCCGAACCTCCCAAGCGGCACTACCACCGCCACAGAGCCAAGCATCCGGAAGAACGCGTGGGCAGACGAGCGCGCGATTGGCAACTCTTCATGGATTGCAAAATGAGAATCGGAAAAATGAGCGGTTCACGACTGTCAAACAGGAAAAGGAGCACCCGACTACTGCGAAGCAGAAGATGAGGCGCCCGACTGTGAAGCAGAAGGCGGGCAGTGAGGCAGGAGGAAAAGGAGGAAGGGGGGCAGGAGCAGGAGGAGGAGAAAGATAGGATATTGTCTATAGTATAGTTACAAAGCTCATACTCCGAGGCGACCCATGGCTGCCACGGCCGCCCACGTTTCCTCCGGGAGGCCAATTGTCTGGGATAGCCGTCAGCGTTGCATAAAACTGTTGTCGCCCGACAAGATCCACTTCCATTCGGGATCTGGATGTGCAACGCCACTCCTCTGTCAAATACTATGTCAGAAAACGACTTCGCTCCGGCCTTGTCCAGCACGGCGGTGTTGGCGGCCCTGGAAATGAACGGCGGCGAAGTACCCAATATCTTCTGCGGGTCAAAGCAGGTCCATTTCCTCGGAGTGAAGCCTCGTAACCGAAGGCTGGGATGGTCTCATACAGGTCGTCAGCACGTCGTTGAAGAAAAGTCGACTTCTCGTACGCTGGCGTACTTTCCCGCACCTGGCACTGTCCCCAGATCCTGTGGTACTCATCCTCCTCACGTCCGCAGCTGCGTAGTTCACCCTTGGAGGAGGGAGGAGGAGGAGGAGGAGGAAGAGACGGAGGAGAGGAGGGCACTGAGGAGGAGTCATGGAGCCATGATGAACAAAAATGTGAACCCGCGCAAGAGGACTGCCTCACACGAGAGTAGTCCCTCACATGAAGAGGAGGAAGAGGAGTTGGAGGAGGAGGAAGAGGAGGAGGAGGAGGGGGATGAGGAGGAGGAGGAGGGGGACGCGGGGGAAGAGTCTCTCATGACAGCCCGCACGGAGCCCTCGGCGGCAGGCGCGGGCGCTCGGGGGGGGGGGCCCTGCTGCGGCTGCGCCGCGTAGCCGCTCTCGCCCTTGCCCTGGGCCGCGCGCCCGATCCAACGTGGCAGGGGTCCTCCTCGCCCCCCTCCTCGAGCTCATTGTACTCGTCGTCACCCTCCCCATTTCCGTTCCGTGATGAATCATTCTCCTCTGTTGCGGCCCGAGGCCAGCCGGCAGGGCGGCACGGGCGGCGTTTCGCTTGACGCTTGAGACGCCTTGCCACTTCATGACCCTGAAGCTTCAGAAATTGAAGCAACTTCACAATTGGATGGCGGGCCGCTTTCAAACTGTGGCTCTTACCTCAGCGCCGCGCACATTCGTCTTAAAAGCATGCCAGAGTTTAACGGATTGAAGGCGGGCCGTTTTCAAAAGGTGGCTCTCGCCTCGGCGCCGCGCAGACTGTGGTTCTCGCTTTAGCGCCCCGCGCAAATGCGTTCCAACAAGTTGCCCGAGCTCACGGTAACGTACCAGAAACGGTTTTCGGGATGCGTCAGGCTTGCCAGGGAGCAACAGTTACGTATATTTGCGGTGTTGAGATCCCAGGGCAAGCATTATGGTAACATGCAGGATCGTCAATTCGCAGAAGTCAGGTTGGTTCGTCGCGCTGGAATCCAGGCAGTGCTGTTCGGGCACCGTGCGGCACGCATCATGACCTTCAAACGATTGCTTCCTGACGGGGCATCTCCCTCAGTGGAAGTGCATCCTTGTAGGGACCCATGAAGAGGGAGCTCGGAGGGAGGGTTTATTCTAACATCATAGATGCGTCTTGGGTTTGCACTGGTCCTCCTCCTCCTCCTCCCCCTCCCTCGGTTTCTAGCAGACGTTTTCCGACGGTCCTGGGTTCTCGGAATGGCGCCGAGGAGGCCGAAGACGGCGAACACACTCAGGACTCGGGGCCCCTTTCCTCAGGACCCCTTTCCTTCACGGTGACAGGTGGCAGTGACAATCACAACGCCATCGTCTGCGCCACTCGTGCACTGACCCTGCACCCCCCTGTCAGCTCCTGCTCCTGACCCTCCCCCACGCTTCGGCGAGCTTCTGACCCAGGTCAATGCAGACCCGGGTCAGCAAGAAACCAAAAACTGCAGTGCAGGACAAAAAACTGCAACGCAGGTCTTCGCAAACCCGGGTCATCCACTATGCGCGGCCACCTCGCGGCCACGAGCGGCTCGCTAATCCGGGTCAGCCAGAGGGGATCTTCGCAGGATCCTGCAGGATCTGGCGCCCTGGCTGACTTCCGTTTGCTTTGACCCCCTCCTCCTCCTCCTCCTCCTCCTCCTCCTCCTCCTCCTCCTCCTACTCCTCCCCCACGCTGACTTCGCGTTTCAACCACCGGCGCCAACAGCAGCTGCGCCCCGACATACACCAGCATGCTCTGCGCTGGGCACGCCCTGGGGCCGACGGCCGGGCTCGAGCCTCGCCTCGGCCCCAGGTGGTATGAGAGGAAGAGAAGGAGGAGGAGGAGGAGGAGGAGGAGGAGGAGGAAAAGGAGGAGGAGGAGGAGGAGGAGAAAGAGGAGGAGGAGGAGGAGGAGAAGGAGGAGGAGGCGCCGCCAGGGAACCGAGCTGCGATCCAAGAAATCCGCGCGGAGCTCTGGAAGTGGATTGATTATGTCAATGCTCTTCTTCGGGAAGAGGCAGCGCACCCCGGGCGCAATCAATGTCTCCCTCGGCTGGCCGGCTGCGGTGGCGGTCCGGCGCCGGGCAGCGGCGAGGCACCGCGCAGGCCTCGAGAGCCCTGCCGCGGCGCGAGGGCGGAGGGCGGCCCGGGAGACAGCCGCGGGCACACTCGGCAGACAATGCGCGAGGACGGGCAGTATGATTGAGATTGCGTCGGGTTCGGAGGAGAAGGAGGCGGAGGAGGAGGGGGAGGTGGAGGGGGAGGAGAAGGAGGAGAGGAGGAGGGGAGGAGGAGGAGGAGGAGCAAGGAGAATAGGAGGAGCGGGATAAAGAGGAAGAGGGTGCAGAAGGTAAGGATAAAGAGTAAGAGGATAAAGAGGAGGAGGATAAAGAGGAGGAGGAGGAGGAGGAGGATAAAGAGGAGCAGGAGGAGGAGGAGGACCAGCAGGAGCAGCAAGATGAGCAGCAGGAGGAGGAGGAGAAGCAGCAGCAGAAGCAACAGCAACAGGAGGAGCAACTGAAGAAGGAGCAGGGAAATGGGGGAGGAGGAGGAGGAGGAGGAGGAGGAGGAGGAGGACCATCGTAAACCCAAGATTCATCAACGATGTTGGAAAAAAAACCTCCCTCCAAACTCCCTCTTCATAGGCCACTACACGGGTTCATTTACACTGAAGGAATTGCCTCATTGGGAGACAACCGTTTGAAGATCCTGAAGCGTGCCGAAACAACACGAATCGACCTGATTGTTGCGTCTTGACGATCCTGAATCGTGCGAGAACGCCATTCCTGGGACTTCAGCCACGCGGATAAACGCAACTGTTGCGCCCTCACAATCCTGAATCTTTCCCAAACACCATTTCTGGTACGTTGGCCATGGACATCCGTGACACTCTTGCAATGTGTTAGCAAGAATGAGCGCGGACCTAGAACGAGAACCACATTTTGAAAGCCACTAGCCCTCAATCCGTGAAAGGCTTACAAAATAAAAATAAAAATAAAAAAATAAAAATGCGCGCGGCGCTAAACCGAGAACCACATGTTGAAAACGACCCGCCCTAAATCCGTGAAGCTCTTAAGTGCGCGGCGCTAAAGCAAAAACCAGATTTTGAAAACGTCCCGCCCTCAATCGGCGAAACTTGTGCTAATGTTTGAAACGCGGCGCTACAGCGAGAACCACATTTTGAGAACGACCCGCCCTCAATCCGTGAAACTCTTACAAATGTTGAGATCGAAAGTGCGCGGCGCTAATGCGAGAACCACATTCTGACAGCGACCCGTCATCCAGCTGTTGAACTTTTGTCCATGTGTAATATTCAGGGTCATGAGGGGTGAGGACGTCTCAGGCGAAACGCCCGGCCCGACCTTTCGACTGGCCTCGGTATGCGATAGGGAGGAATCATTTATAAGGAGAAAGGGCGGATGAGGAGGAAGAGGAGGAAGAGGAGGAGGAGGAGGAGAAGGAGCAGTACCCTGAGGGCGAGTCCCGATCCAGCTCTAGGCGCGGAGCGCCAAGCGCGCTGCACCAGCGACACGCGTGGCTGATTCGTATGTATGATAAGCCGACACGGCCAGAGAGTCCTTCGATGTATGGTAAATGTCTGGCAGGCGAAAACGGTGGCTTCGAGGAGGAGGAGGAGGAGGAAGAGGAGGAGGAGGGGGAGGAGGAGGAGGAGGAGGAGGAGGAGGAGGAGGAGAAGGAAGAGGAGGAAGAGGAGGAGGGAGGGGGAGGAGGAGGGGGAGGGGGAGGCAGAGGAGGAGGAGGAGAGTGCGGCCAGAGCCGCGGCCTGTCGCGCACACCCGGGCGCGGGTGCTAGCCCCCCCCCCCTGCGCGCCCCCCTCCTCCGGGACCCGCCCTCCGTCGTGCGGCCGCCGGCAGGGCAGTGACGGACATCTCGGGCGCGGCCTAACCGAAACCGAACCCCTAGCAAACCATCCCCTTGCGCGACGTCGCCCTCGCCTTTCAAGCTTCCCTCCGGCCGCATACATACGCATTGGGGCGAGGCGAGGTGGACGTCACCGAAGGGGACGGTCAGCTAGGGGTCCGCTAGGCCGCCCCTGAACATCGGACCAGGGCACATCGGGGATCTCTGGGATCCGGCGGCTCTGGAAGATGTATCGGGCGCCACGGTCTTCTCAGAGCGTTCCAGAACGTTCTGAGAGCGTTCCGGACCGCCCTCGAACGATCTATCCCTGTCCTAGCCCTCCCGATTATATCCTCTTGTCTTCTCGGCTGTCTTCCCCTCCCCCCCTGGCTGCTGCCTGGTGCAGAAGGGTGCGAGGGTCTGTCTTCGTTGGAGAACCGCTCCAAAGCGACAGCGACAATAGGGAGGAGGAGGAGGAGGAGGAGGAGGAGGAGGAGGAGGAGGGGAGGAGGAGGAGGAGGTGGAGGGGGAGGAGGAGGAGGAGGAGGAGGAGGAGGAGGAGGAGGAGGAGGAGGAGGAGGAGGAGGAGGGAAAGGAAGCCAGGCCAGGCGAGGCGCGCGTCCGCCAGCCAGCGGCTGCCGGGGCCCGGTGAGCCGGCGCGGGCGGGCCGGGGTCCTCAGTGTTGAGACGTTGGAGTAGGCAACGACATCGTTCTCCAGCCATTGCCAGCATACAGCGTCTGTGGCGAGGAAGGAAAGGAGGAGGGGGCGAAGGAGGAGGAGGAGGCGAAGGAGGAGGAGGAGGAGGAGGAGGCGGCGAAGGAGGAGGAGGAGGAGGAGGAGGAGGAGGAAGAGGAGGACGGGCTGTTGGGCCACGGCTGCCAGCCTGCCTCAGCTGCCGCCACCTCCAGGGGCCGCAGGAGCGGGCCTCGCCCGCTGGAGGGCCTTCCTCCTGACTTCCTCATTGCTGGAGATATCCTGCCTTGATCACAATCGGGTGAGGACGAAAATCGGGCGAGGGCAAAATCGGGCGAGGAGAAATCGAGAGCCTCTGCGCTCCGGCGGCTCCGGAGGATGTACCGGGCGCCGCGGCCTTCCCTCGGCGGCGAGCGAGGGGGGGAAGTGAGAAGGAGAAGGCCTCCTCAGAAGGCTCGGAAGTCCCCCGGCCTTCTGAGAAGCTCTCGAGGCCTTCCCCGAAGACACCGAAAACTTCTCAGAAGGCGCGAGTTCTTCCGAGAGGTCCCGCCGCCTTCTGAGCAGGCCCTCTCCTTCTCGCTTCCCCCCCTCTCGCTCGCCGCCGATGCTCAGGGCGTCCCCGAGCGCTCTGAGAGCGGTCCAGACTCTGGAACGCATTTATCCTCGTCCTGGCCTCGTCCGAGCTCCCCCCCCCAGCGGCGACCGCCGCGGGAGGGAGGATGGCTGCACTAGAGGCCTCCTAAATGGGGTCCGAGCAGATGGGGTCGAAGGATCGCGCCACATGGTCAATGCATCGCCGATGTATCGGCGATGCATCGACCAAAACCAACACCAACTGCAACAGCAACAGCAGTGCATCGCCTAGATGCACCGCGTAAAGGTCCCAAAACCAACAGCAACAGCAGGAGGCTACCGGGCGCCCCGGCGCGCGCCTTGCCCTTGCCCTTGTCGCCCACCATGCCCGCGAACGCCACATTGCCCAGGTGCTTGAAGTGGTCCTGCCCAGAACGGGGGACTGTGGGGGCAGCGCAGGTGGAGGTCATGGCTACGGGGCGGGGATCCCCCCTCCTCTTCGGCTTCTTCCTTCCGGGGCAGCGCAGGTGGAGGTCAGGGCTACGTGGTGGGCTCCTCTTCGGCCTCCTCCTCTCGGGTCGGACGAGCGGGGGAGTACAGTCACCCATGATAATAAGGATGGGCAACCTTTCCAAGGGTACCCTTGCACCCTTGCCTCCTCGGTACATCCTTCGCCGCGTTCGCTGGCCGCGCCCCGCTCGAAAAGCCTCGAAATGGGCGCCCAAGACCCTTGCATCCCTATCGCGCCTCCTTACTATACTGGCTGACTGTAGTGGATTGGGGGTGGGCGAAACAGCCCACGCAGATCTGACTTTCCCAAGGCCTCCGGGCGCCGGGGGCGCCAGCGCATCGAGGGAAGCGCCCGGCGGCGGAGACGAAACCAGCTGCACGCGGCAGGTCTCGTCACCCCCCCCCTGTCCCACGCCTTCCCCCTTCGTCTGCCCCAGATTGTCCACCACAGAAGTGTCTGCACAGACACGCTCCAACGGATTGTTCCTGGGCCTCAGGGGAGGGTGGCGGTGCATCAATAATCACTGAGAGGCAGCGGCTTCAGACCGACTTTATACACCGCCGCCCTCAGTCTCTCTCTCTCTCTCTCGCTATTTCTCCCTCCCTCTTCACCTACCAGTTTCTTTCTCTCTCTCTCTCTCTCTCTCTCTCTCTTTTTCTCCCTCTCTCTTTCTCCAACTCTCTCTCTCTCTCTCTTTCTCTCTCCCTCTCTCTCTTTCCCTTTATCGCCCCTGTCCCTTTGGGACCAACTCCTCTTTCCCTCCTCTATGGAAACTGAAGTTCCTCCTCCTAAACCTCCTCCTCCTCCTCCTCCTCATCGCTATCACCACGGAACTGCTACTCCTTATCCTTCTCGGCATCTCTCCCGCGACGAGCGGTCGGTTCTGGCAGACGGCAGCCCGCCTTCAAGTCCATCCACATGCAGGTCGGCGGGCAGTTCGTGATGAGCAACTGGGCGGCATGCTTCGCAACGACGCATTGCGTTCGGTCAAATCCGACATCGTACGCGTCATGCTGTTTCCATCGCACCATCCGTACGGTTCGATGCTTCTCTGTTAGCTCGCCAGAGTGACGTTCGCACCACGAGCCAAGAGAAACAATATCGCAAAGCAAATCCGTAACCTCGGTCGAGAGAGGTGAGGGCCAATGCTGCACATGCAGCGCTGTGCCGACCAGGCCGAACTGGCGACCCCAGAACAACACTGTCGCAGCACACCGCAGGCTGGGAAGTCAGCTGCACGCGACGCCGTGCCATTGTCAAACACTGCGCGCGCGCGCGCTGGTGCATGACTGGCGCGCCATCGTGGCCGGCGGGCTCGTGTTGTGACGACTTGCCCGCTGGTCTCCGACTGACTACCTACCAGACCACCCCAACCCAACCCGAAGACCCGAATCTCGGGTTGGGGGGGGTAAGGGTTCCACATGTGTTTTTTCGATGTTTCCCGACCCCCCACCCCACTGGAAATCGAGGGTCAATCTGAGCCTTCGGGTTGGGTTGGGGTGGTTTGGTGGGTGGTGACCGACACCGCGTGAACCTCTCGACCCCGAACGATCGCTGATTCCCGACAGCGCGGATCGCCCGAGGCCGCCCGACTCCACGCCTCGGGGAGGCGTCCGACCTCGAGCGCCCTGCGCAGGGGGCCGCCGCGGCGCCGACGCGACGCGGACCTGCTGCAGCAGAGACCACCCGCCGAGAGCATCTTCGGGGCCACGGCACGGGGAGCCCGGCGGGAGGCTGCCCTGCCCGAGAGCCCGGCCGCGCTCGACCCCGCCTCCCCCGTGCAGACCGGCCTGCGCAGGCTGCCCCGGCAGCCAGCACGATCCCTCGCCCGGCCCACCTGCCCCCCCCCAGCCCCTGCCGCTGGCCATCGCTCGGACGTCCATTCCCTGTGCCTTTTTCGGTTTCGTGCGTGGCTTTTTCGCCAAATTATCAAGGATGCTCCTCGATGGCCCTCGCCGAAGGAAAAATGCACACGTCCGAGCGATGCCAAGGCAGAGTGCGCAGACCCCCGCAGCTCCTCCTCCTCCCCCTCCTCCTGCGCGGAGGCCGGAGTACGTCTGCAGCTGAGCTGCAGCTGTGTGGAATGCCGCTCCAAGAGCCCGTGGCTTTGCGAGTAATTAGCTCACGGATCCTCCCTGCCCCCCCCCTGGGCGTCCCCACTGTTCTTGCCAACTGCTCCGCACCCCCGGGGTCAGCCAACTGGGCAAAGTCGGCCAACGCTGGCTCGGATAATCGGACCACATGGGAACGCGCATCGGATCGGCCCGCACCGGCACGGCGTCGGCATCGAGCCGAATCGGCCGCGCCAGGATCCGCAACAGCGCCATGCAAGCCACATCGGATCGTCGGAGCATCAGAACCTCACAAAAAAGGCGGCCTGGTCGAAGTCGATACCGAATGGCATTGATCAGATCGGAATGGATGCCGCTGGGCATAACTGATTTTGCAATGACATTGCCACACCCTCGGTCCTACCCGAGTGTCTGCTCCGCTTCGAGGTGGGAGCTCAGATGAGTGGATCGCTCGCTGGGCCCGCGCCTCGGGCCGAACCCCACCACACGCACTCCCGGCCCACTTTCCAGGGACCAGGTAGCGCGAGCGAGGGGAACTGAAGAAGGGTGAGGGGGACAAGGGGAGGGACGACAAAGAGCAGGAGGAGCGGGCGGGGGGGGGGTGAGGCACAAGAGGATGAGGAGCGCGAGGGTGGAGGAAGAGGAGGGGGAGGGGAGGGAGGAGAATGAGAAGGACGGGAGGAGGAGGAGGAGGAGGAGGAGGAGGAGGAGGAGGAGGAGGAGGAGGAGGAGGAGGAGGAGAGGGAGGAGCAGGACGAGAGGGACGGAGAAGAGGATGGAGAAGAGGACGGAGAAGGGAATGGAGACGATGGAGGGGAGAGGGGAGGAAAGGGGAGGACAGAAGGGAGGTGAAGAAGGACACATATTCGGCCCACATGAGACCACGCAAGACAACCAGCGAGAAGGCCACCTTGGTGCCGTTTGGATTGTTCATCCCGTGGAACGACACCTTTATCCTCCAACCTCGCCGGCGGTGCGAAAGGCGATCTCCGCTCTTCTCCTTGTTCTTCCCATCTTTCTCAGCCTCCTCCTCCTGCTCCACGCTTTCTCCCTGATTACCCCTACCCCTCCGCTGCCACGACCCCCCTCCTCTTCCTCCTGCTTCCCTCCTCCAACCCATCATCCTCATGCTGCTGCTCTTCCATCCCTCTGCCTTCTTATGAGCCGCTCCTCCTCGTCGCACTGACGGTCGTGTGTGTAGCGGAGAGGGACGTTCCGCCTGATACTCCCATCACATCCGAGATGGACCATGGAGATCGAACGTCCCAACAGCTATGTACACGGATGTAGGACGACTCGTTTTAAAAACGCAGCTCTCGCCTTAGAGCAGCGCACTCTGTTGCGAGCTCCCAGCAGTGACATTGATGAAAGGAACAACTTTCTCAACTGTGAATATCGCATTCACGCCAGACAGATTCGTCTTCAAATTTCTCAGCAGATGGGCTGGGCTCTCGCTTCAGATTGGAATTAAGAGCTCAGAGTTGACCAGCGTGGGCCCCACACAGTAAGTTATTGCACAGTGGATGTTCGAGCTATGTGGTGCAAGCTATGTGGTGCAGCTTACGTGATTCAAACTAGAGGCGGCCACGAGACAGCCACGGGAGGCAACGTATCGAAACCTCACCAGACCCCACCAGCGCGCGAGGCGGCCACGCGGCGGCCACGTGGTGAAACCTGCCAGACCCACCCAGCGCACAAGGCGGCCACGAGATGGCCAAGGGCGGCAACGTCGCGAAACCTCGCTGGACCTACCCAGCGCACGAGGCTGCCACGAGGCGGCCACGGGTGGCAATGCCTCAGTGACATTACCACGAGACCCAACATGCAAGCTGCGTTTGGGGAAAAACATCAGTGGCACGGATGGGGGCTGCTCCTTTTCGAAATGGAGATTTCTCCTGAGACTTTATTCGTCACTGTGGCCAGAAGGTGCTACTGTGCAAAATGGGCTGTCGCCAGACATCCTCTCGAATTCGGCAACGAACGCGCTTCACCTGTGTTCTCTTGACGGCAAAATACAGGGCCAATCCGAAACCAGGAAGGGCTCCCTCGTCTCCGACCGAAAGAACTAGACCCGCCGACCTGGAACCAAAGGGGACCCTCCCCCACCGCGCCCCCTCCATCCTGCCCCGCCCCATAACCACCCTCCACCCTGCACCGCCCTGCCCCACCCCATAACCACCCCTGCCCTGCCCTGCCCTGCCCTGCCCTGGAACCCCCCTCCGCCCTGCCCTGCCCCATAACCACCCTCTCAGGGGAAAGGAGGAGGGGAGACCGGGAGACCACCCACCCTAGTGACACGGGAAGGCTCCGGCACGACTACCCTCCCCTCGCGCACGCAAACGACGACAACAATCTCGACGACGACGGCGACCGACAACGACGACGACGACGACG